TTTTTTTTTTTCAGGCTAAATGATAATATTCTAAATGAGTGAGACACCACTTTCTTCTCCAGCTTATGAGTTGTCTGTTTTAAGGTTCACATTATACCAGGGAGTCGAGTTACTCTGATCGGAGTCTTGCTTTTTCAGGAGCTACACTACAGTCATATGGAGTGAAGATGTGAAATTATTAAGACAATCGGCCTCTGTGGGAGTAGCTTTCAGGTAGCTGCTCTGTACTGTGTTGGCACATGGCATTGAAGGAGATGGACAGTGGATGAATTATATGCTTAAATTTGCACCACTTTTACCTTTAATGAATAGTATTCCTATTCCCCTTTAACTTTGTGTTTTGTGCATTTTTTTCTTTTTAAACATTTGGTCCAAGCACCTCAAATAAATAAATTAATGTTATTCTTATTTATCCATTTTCTGATTTTATTATATATCTTTATTTATTTTCATTTATGGGACAAGGTCTATATGGGCTGCTAGGTTGTTGTTGTTTGTTTGTTTGTTTTTTACTTTTTTTGCCTTTTTGTAACAAGACCAAATCAGGTTGCATATGACAGACAACCTCCGTTTGAGTTGAAACCCTTGTTTAAAGCTCATATCAAAACGGGTTTTGAAAAAGGATCAAATATGCAATTAAGAATGATTGTTACTTCCTCTTGTATTTTGTTTTCCTCGTAGCTTTAGCTGTGCTGGCATTACTTATTTTGTGGTGTTTTGTTTTTTTTGTTTGTTTGAACCAAAAAAAAAGAAATGTAGTGTTTGTGAAGATGGAGATGGTAAGTAACCTTAGACCGTGACAGCAGCTCCCCCTGCTGTTGCTGAGTGAGGTTGTCTGGTTTGCTTTAAAAATGGAAGAACTGACTCTAATTTTGGCAACGTTATGTTTTGGAAAAAACAAAGTCCGAATATACTAAGGGGTGGCGCATTGTTTTGTTTTTTTTTTTTCACGTTTGATTTTTGATTCTCGTTTTGTTTTGTTATTTGTTTGTTATACACAGGTTTAAAGTGGGATAAATTATGCCATCTAAAGAGGTGGAGTTAAAGCAGGGGCAGGGGAACTCCAGTCCTCATGGGGCGGTGTCCTGCAGGTTTTAGATGTGTCCTTGATCCAACACAGCTGATTTTAAATGGCTAAACTCCTCAACATGTCTTGAAGTTCTCCAGAGGCCTGGAGTTCGTTCTCTCATGTTTGCATGGGTTCTTTGTGGGTACTCTGCCTTCCGCCCACAATCCAAAGATATGCAGTTAATGGGGTTAAGTTAAAATGGTAATTCCAAATTGGCCATAGGTGTGAATGTGAGTGCCAATGGTTGTCAGTCTCTATGCCCCACCACAGACTGGCCACCTGTCCAGGGTGTACCTCTCGCTGGGTAGGCTCCAGCCCCCTTGCGACCCTAACAATGATAAGCAGAAGAGAATTAATGGATTTCCACCTTTGTTGTTGTTGTTTTAAACTTTTCAGTATTTCACTCCACTGTATTTCAGGGACATTTACAGTACTGCTACAGTACTTTGATCCTTTAGGTTACATTTGTGACTGTACTTTTACACTTTTACTCATTTGGGAGTAATTTAGCAGTAATTTTTATTCAGCATTTTTTCCTGACATTTGGGGTTGTTATGAAGATCTGAGTAAGTTGCAATGTGTCTGTCACAAATATCGGTAAGGTACAGCTGGTCAGAGTTTTGAAATGGCTCTGGTCAAAGCCATGTCAGAGCTTATTGGCTCTGGTTGCCCTAGAATAACAGTCAGCTGATTACAGTTCTTGGACCTGAGGAGGAAAGTACAACCTGGATTACTTTTAAACAATTCAGATAATCTACAAAGCTATAAATGACACATTATCATTGAACTTTCAAAGGGAATTCAGTTATAGGGAGGGATCGCAGTCTGAAGGGTATGTGGGATTTTAAAGTTCAAGTGTGAGGACCACAGGGAGGAATTTTTGTATTTCTGGTTTGAGGGGCCAAAACATCAAGTGCTCTAAATGGGGACTTTGTACTGAAGAGGATTAGGGACACTTGGGTGGGCGTCTTTTCCAAAATTCTGGGGGAAAAGTTGTTTATATCAGCTTCATTAATTGTTTCGCACTTCGTCCTGAAAAACAATCAAAACAGAGACAAGGTTTCCAGGACGGTTTAACTTTGAGCATCTAAACTGTATATTCAATTTGGACAGTTCAATGCGGTTACTTGCCAAAATATTTGAATTACGAAACACGTAGATCGGGTTTTCTGAAGGCACCTGAATGCACCACAAAGCCCCTCCTATATCCGGTGAGAAACCGCTATCAGCCAGAAAATTGTACCGACTTGGAGTCCGTTACATGGGTATACAGTAACAGAAATCCCCGTCGTTTAAAAAAAGTACTTATTTTCGAAGTTCGGGGCCTCTAAGGGAAACTCACAGACAACATGCCCGGGGAAAGGTAACCGTACTCGGAGTGCTGCTGCCTCCTCATCCGGCTAAAGGACGGAGCAAGACGGCTAAACGCCAATGGAGAGGCCGGGTAGGCTGCTGCTGCAGTCGGAGCTCCGCGTCAGAAATGCCGCGTACGATGTAAGCCTGAGCCGGTCACTGCTCATCTGGAAGAGACGGACCTCTAGTCCCGTGTACCACCCGTTCAGACCCAGTAAGATCCGTGATTAATGTGTCTGCATGCCTTTGTCTATGTGTCTTAATATATCTCTCTGTTGGCCTTTAAGCGCACCGCGACATCCTGTGTGATAAACAAAGAACTCAGAGAAAACGTGAAAGGGGACACACAGCAGTGTTTGGACCTGTGGATATCATGCCGTTAACTTTCCGCTCTGAGCACAATGTATCCGGACTGTAGGACCATATGAGATATGATACATCCGGTTACATAACACTCATCATCCAGTCTGACAGTGGAGGTCACTGAGGCTGCAAGCTGCAGGGACGAACAAACACACCAAACCTCATAATTTTAGAATATTTTAACCACAAACAACATAATGAAAAATCACAGTTTTTCAAGTAGCAGAGGGTTGAGTGATTTATTCAGTAGACGTGCTTTTGTTTGTGAGCCATTGTGTCCAGCTGACGAAGGCAATTGCACCATTCACTTTATTTTAAATCCGTTTTGGACACGTCCACTTCCTTAAAAACATATCATGCTATGTTTGAATGGAACTGGCTACTTGATGTTTTGCTGTAAAATCTGTAACATTTTTATAAGTTTTCGTCTGAAGGTTATGGGATTGTTACATAGGAAGTTTATCGAATACAGAGACTTGTTAACAGTTTCCACTACGAGATTTTAAAGAAGGATACTGCACTTAAATGCCACAGCAGTATCAAAAAGAGTACTCAAAGTAAGTACAAAATCTCCAGATGTGAAAGCGAGCCCCCTACTCACATTTCTCTCACACCGTCAGTCCCAAATTAACTGGTTTACATATGAACCAGTGTGTGTTGAATAACATGGTCACACTGAGTTTGTGTTAAAGGTTACTGGCTAACCTCATGTACTTAATTACTTCTCTGTTGTTGATTTGTGACTGTAACATATTACGAATCGATCACCCGATCATTGTGTTGTCGTTTGAAATGTAGATGTACCCTTCAGTGTGAGCACAACAAATAAATAAAAAAACAAAATAACGTTTCATAAACAAAGGTTTTATATTTTTATATTTCTTAATACTTTAATTCTAATTTAACATTATCAGTGACATATTCAGATCAGTATAACTGTAAAGCTGGGTGGCTCTTGCTAATCGTCTGATATGCATCACTGCCCCGGTCAGGGATGTAATCATTGCTTTATGTAAATACCATGGAGTCAGGACAGACTGTTTTACAGTATTTGCCTGCTAACACAAACCTTTTGTAGTGTAAACCTGTATCATTGAACATAACAAAGATTGATAATATGTACTATTCGTGGACAGTCACATTGTCTAATACATGAACACATTAATGATGAATCATTTGAGATGATCATGGTGAACAGAAGTGTTTTGGTCTCTGTTAGAATCCAGTTAAAACCTCAGTAGAGACTACCACAGTCATTCACCTCAATATATCTTAACATAATCCTGAGTTTTATTTTGTTTGGGGAGTTAAAATATCAAAATAAGCCAAATTTGTGGTTTGCATTTGTTGTTAACCTCCCTGTGTACTCTGTGTTAAGGTTTCAGTTTGATAGTCTACATGTTTTTGCCATTTACTGCCACTTGGGGGCAGTAAACTACTGTAATGTTCATAACTATTGTTTGTTTATACACTTTTTTTGTTTTTTTTTACTCCTCTCCAGAGTGTAGATGTCTATAGCTTCAACATCTCAAAAGTGAGCGTAATACTTTCTAATAGCCAGCAGGGGGAGACTCTTGTTGTATTGTATTGTATCTTTATTTCAGACATATACAGAAAAAAACAATATATACACCAGTACACATACTTGCATTTACAAATACGAATATATATGTAAATACACACACGTATGTGCTCAGATAGAACAAAAAATAAAATAAAACAAAGTCTAAATGACATGAAATGACAATTATTAGGTCTGAAATGGAGTAGGAAGAAGTATAACATACTTGTACAGAAGTCTGTGGATGAATGTCTCTCAGCTCCTTCACTTTATGAAGCTCATTCACTATTTTTATATCATGGTTAACAGAACATTAAGTCAGTTACAGTGGCTATTTTCATGTTTTATAGACAGTCTATGCTTACGGCTTTATAGAGGAGTAAAATCAAGCGTTAAAACGATGAACTTTCTCCACGGGAGCCATTGTTTGCGCTTCTCGTGTGCGGTTTATTTATCCTTTTTTTTTTCTTCTTCTACCTCTTTGTGATGAAAGGTTTCTTTTTCCTGTTTTAATGCAACTTTTCAACAGGTTGAAATGCACATTGAGGCATGGAGGCAAGCTTTGCTTTTTACACCAAAGAACTTGAATCTTTAAAATTTTAACTAAAGAGTTGGGCATCTCTGGTGGATCATCAATGACTCACCTCACACTGCCTGTTAAAATGATCCCAACTGTTACTGCAGGAGGTGCGTGACAGTGTTTGTTTGTCAGCAGGTTACTTCTCTTCTGTTTCATCTGAGTTGGTCAGGGTTCAGTTGTTTCCAGTGTCATGGTGACAACAGCTGTGTGTGTAAAACTGAAACACACACCAACATGTGTTTTGTATTTCAGTTGTGAATTTTTTATGTGTCCTAGTTTCTGTCTGTCTGCTGCTGGGGGTGTTGAAACGCTAAACTTTGTTGTCTGGGTCAACTTTGCTAGCGAGAGACAGAGAGAGGCGTCGAAAGGCTGCTCCAACGGAACTTATTGTTTCAGAGGAAAACACGAACACAGTGTACAGTCGAGTCTTAATAATAGCTTACTTACAACTGGGCTCGTCAGGCACTCTTTTTGGCTGCAGTGGTTATTATTATATTTACATGCTTCCAGCTCCCGTTTCTGGTTGGTGACAACTCGTACTTTTCCACTCTCCTTTTTCTCCCTCCCTCGCGCTCACAGACGCATAACGGCAGTCCATTCTCCCTGCAGCACGGACTACACTGCCCATGAGGCTATATTCTTTAGGGCTATGCCTGTAACACTCTGCCTATTGCCTTCTTATTAAATAATTTTTGTCAATAATTTTTAAAAATATTTCTTCGCATCGTTCTGCGGGCCACAAATAGAGGTGACATGGGCTGTGAGATTGACACACAGGCATTAGAGCCGCGTTTTGTTTGTTTTTCCTCTGGTGTGGAATTACCAAAAATAGAGAGAGCATAGCCTAATATATGAAACAGGAAAAGACCGTGCCGTGTAATCCATTTATTTCAACAAAGTAACTGTATTCTGAATACCACCCTTTTAAACGGTAACTGTAACGGAATACAGTTACTCATATTTTGTATTTTAAATACGTAACGGCGGTACATGTATTCCGTTACTCCCCAACACTGAATACAGTGCAGCATTATTTACAAAGTGTGCACAATGAGATATTTGAATTTAAGAACTGAATGGGTGAACAGTATAGTGAATATTAAGAATATAACTGTAGCTTGTAATATCCCCCTAACGCCTGTATTATAAAGCAAGTTCACCATGCCCAGGATATCTTTTTCCTTATCTGGCTTCGCTCATCTTAGAATCAGCAGTCCTGCTAAGCAGTCACATGTAGCTTCTTATCAACTCGGTAAGTCAACCCAGGGTTTTTTCCAGTGTAGCTAAAAGCACGTGGCCATAAAAGAGGTAGTTTGCAGCATATGATTAATCATAGACATGAAGACATACCAGCAGAACGGCAGCATTTTAAAAGAAAAAGAAATCTATGAGTAACTATGAGTAGGCATGAAATATGGTGTAAATGCATCTTTATACCTGACGATGTGTGACCTATAGATTAAGAGCTCTGAGTAAATTAGGCTGAAGGAACTCTATGTAGAGATCTGACTCACCAGAGAGCCCATAATACAATGCCTTCCATCCATCCATCCATCCATCCATCCATCCATCCATCCATCCATCCATCCAACTTCAGCTTATACCCATAGGAGGGGTCCACCCTGGACAGTTTGCCATTCACACCTATAGCCATTTTAGAATCGCCATTAACACGCATGTCTTCGCACTGCGGGAGGAAGTTGTAAACTCCACACTGAGTTTGCATTCTTTCCCAGTGCTTGTGTGGGTTCTTCACATACTGAAAAATTGATTATGATTTGTGAGATTATTGTGTGTTTGCAATATGCTGAGTATTGCATTGTGAAGCATACAGACTGATCGACAGTGTCATTAAAACCTGTCATGTTGCATGCACCTGACAGACTAAACTGTTTGTATTACAGTCTATTCCAATTCATTTTTAATGCAAATGTGTAGACTAGCGTGCACATAGTGTACAGGTATTGTGTATGTAAGACAGCAGTCAGCAGTTGTCCTCTGAGATGATGAGCTGCTATCCTTTCAGCTGTACTCAAACGTTCCTCAGCTTTATGCATCACTTCTCTGAGCCAGACTGTGTCTGTGGAAAGAACTGGGAGGTAACTTTTTCAAATTGTCTCCAGTGTCTGATGTGTTTTCCTTTAAGTGCATGTGATGTTAGCTTTGTCGTCTTTGGCTATCAGTCTTCCATCATGGTAAGGTGCGAAAGGAGCTGTCAATTCTCAATTCAAGTCCATTTTTGATTTAGACACAGATGGCATTTACTGATTTCTTTCAATACCAGCTTTGCCCCACATTTCAGTTTACCTCACAAGAAAAAGCCGACAGCACCATCTGGTGGACTGAAGAAGCAGCTGAGTTTTTTATTGTAACTAAAAAGTTCAGTTTTTATTTGCAGTCCATGCAAACTTTATCTCTGTATTGTCCCTATATTGATGCGATGTTGCCGTGGAAAATACTGGAATACTTAATTACTTTTTTTTTTCTTCACCCCCACCTGTAGTAGCCAGAAAGGAAGGCTGATTTAAAAACATGTAGACTATAAAGTTAAAAGGTGACTTGGTATCCTCATTCATTTAGGCACTTGTTGATCTGAAACCAAAGTTACATTTTTTTCTGATTGTCTTAGGTTAACTTACTCTCTATCTGCTAATTACAGTGTTACCTGTATGGTTTTCCTGCAGGATTTTGTGTTCCTTTGTTTCCTCGTCGACCTGATCCAGGTAGGAGATTTAGTTCCCACAATGCAGTGGGCCACCTCCACCCCATTGTGTGGAGGTTTAGTGGTTCTGCTGTTAGTACATGTTTCTGGGTTTGATGGCTGAAGTGTGAGGTCTGTTTGTGTTGTTCCAATTTAAATAAGTGGTTTTATTCCAAAATGATGAAAAATAAAAACAAAGCAACCTCCTAACCTAATATTAGAGTAATTAAATAATCTCAGTTTCATGAAATAACCTTTACCGTCAGAAGTCATGTTTTGGAATAAACCACATGTTTAGGAGTAAAACGTGTCAGTTTAATGCTGTGTTCAGTCTGTTCATCAATAACAGATCCAACAGAAACATGTTGCCCTCCCTGTAGCTCTTGTGTCAGTGTTTGATGTGTAGTTTGGCTTTGTAGTTCCACTAATTTAGCTGACCTCCTGTAGTTTGCTTAAGTTTCTTTATATGGGAGATAAACATGCTCCTGGCTTCAAGAAAACACTCTTTGGTCAATTGTTATGTAGAGGAATAGTCTGATATTCCTCTTTTTCTTTCTTAGAGTAAGATGAAGACAGACACTATATTTCCAAAAGTATTCATCACCCATCCAACTCATCAAATTCAAGTGTTCCAATCACTTCCATAACCACAGGTGTATAAAATCAAGCTCCTAGGCATGCAGAGTGCTTCTACAAACATCTGAAAGAATGGGTCACTCACAGGAGCTCAGTGAATTCCAACATAGTACTGTGATAGGATACCAACTATGCAATAAGTCCAGTCGTGAAATTTCATCTCTACTAAATATTCAACAATCAATTTTTAGTGGTGTTATAACAAATTGGAAGTGATTGGGAATGACAACACCTCAGCTACAAAGTACTGGCAACACAAACTCACAGAGCGGGGTTAGCTGATGCTGGGGTGCATAGTGTGCAGAATGGAGACTGAGCCAGGCCTTCTCGTCCGATATCAGTGTCTGACATAACAAAGTTGTTTCTGGAAGAATGGTCAAAAAAATTCACATGAACCCACTCATAAAATTTGCAGAAAGCTTTTATGAGAAGAGTTGAAGCTGTGATAGCTGCAAAGGGTGGCTCAACAATATATTAAACCTTATGGATTAAGTGTGGGTAGTCACTCAAATCCTATTGTGTGTGAAGGCAGAAGATCGAATACTTTTGGCAGTATAGTATAGATCAAAAGTACATGGTGAAAACAAAAAGTATTGTGATTCTGCTCATAACAAGGAAAACCTTAACTGAACTAAATTTAGCCACTGTCTCATTAAACATCATCTCCTTGGCCTTTTCTGGATTGCTTCCAGTGCTTCATGGAAGTCCTGTTCTGAATTGCTGGAGTGTGTGTACGTATTTCTCATTTATTACCAAGCTAACATCAACTTCTGTGTCAAACTGACCGTGTTTTTCTCATCATGGACCATCACCGATGAGCAAAGTTTTGGAGGGTGACTGCAGCCCACCCTCCAAAAGTTAGTTTTCAGTGGAATAATACACACACTCTCAAAGTCAGCAGATCGTGGATCAGGTGAGAAATGAGACCAGAAGGAGAACCACCATTCACCATGGCTGCTCCCCTCTCGATGCGGGGTTCAGTTTTAAAGTCCCGAGGCATTTGAGGGAAAACATTTAGTGATCACAGTAGCAGCAGTGTAACAGTTCTTCCAAACACCAATCGTCCCTTGATATTTAAAACACACTTTTGGTTAACACCTGGGTATTTCTTTAAATGGCATGAATGGCAAAAAAGAATTTTTTTTTTTTTTTTTTTTTTTTTTTTAAATATTCAGCTTTCTCTAAATTATCATGCCTTAACCAGACATTCTATGGCAAGGACCCTAATCCTAAATGTGATGTAGGTCGATTTTTATTAATAAAGAAGCAACAAACTAGATTAGAGGAAAGCCTCATTAAGAATTATCAATGGCTCCTCATTGCTTTGGCAGAGGTTGACCAACAGAAGGAGAAATATGACCAGAGAAGTGCATGGAGTGTGGTTCTTCTCCTGATAAAGTATTTCCAATTAACAGCTCCAGCTCTGGTTTCAGAATTGTTATTCACCAACACAGTCTTCACTCAACATGAAGATGTGGCTCCCTATAACTTCATCAAACATAGAAAATTGTCACAATAGGACTTCCACGGAGTGAATATAAAAAAAGTCAGTAACAATGGAATCAGTCCTGAGATGCACAAGGAGCTGACCCTGAATTTAAATCAGGTCTAATTTTTTTTTTTTTGTTATTGGCAAAGTCACAGATCTTGATGACACCTCTGATATTAAAAGTTTATGAATGTATTTTTAAAAATATGCTACTTCTGGCTATAATGCTGTTTTGAAATGGTGAAAAGCTGATTTGGGGTTTTTTTTGTGTTTTGTAAATAAAATATAAATATAGTAAACAGGGATTTTTACAAAGCTTTGTGTTGGAGTTCATGATGATTATTATTGAAAATGAATTGAACGTTTGTGGAAATGATCACAGCCCAGTGATACAGTAGTGTTGTTGTTTGAAATGGAGCCAAGGTCTCACTCAGTCTTATTTGTTATTCATGAAGTCAGAATTAAGATTAAAACCATTTTAAGATGAAAATGTGCCGAAGGTTCCTTCATGTGGAGACAGAATAGCAGAAGAGTGATTGTGATGTGAGCTGCAGATACAGATAAGTGAGTCAGAAGTGAATCCGAAAGATGACAATGCCAATATGTGGGTCATGTCACACTATTACACTAGCAATACTCACACAGAGTATTGCTAAACTTGCTGCATCACTCTAAATATGTGGACTTGTTTCACATCATCATGACCTCATTCTAGAAAATAAGGCCAAAAGCAACAATACCCCTGGTGGTGCCTTCACATGCTGCCAGAAGGCTCTGAAATTTGAGAGCTGGCTGCTGGTTGGCGACACTAACTGCTTTGTGTGCATCTGTGTGTTGTTCAGGTGTCTGTCACAGTGTCCCAGTGTCAGAGATCATCTCTGTCAGAGAGGAAGAGGAGGAGAATGGCAGCAGACAAAGAGACGATGGCAGCTGGAAAAAGATCAGAGAAAGAGAGGGAAAGGACTGCAGGCAGGCCTTCACAGGTAATCCAAACACTGCATGATCTGCACTCTAGCACCATGGCAATCAAAGATGGCTGATTATTAAATAAGTTTTTTTTTTTTTACTTGTATCTGTTTTAGTGTTGTACGTGGAGAGGTGTCGGCAGCACCGCTGGCGGTGTGCTGAAGTCACCTTCACTTGTTCGGATGAGGCGGTGTGTCAGCACTGGGTCAGCAGCATCAGAGAGCAGCTCGCCAGTAACAGTATGATTTTACAAAAACCCACTCTGTCTGAATAACTCATGCCGCTTCCACAAACTATTTGTGACATAGTTTCTGTTGTTGTTGTTGTCGTTATTTGTGTCAACAGCCAGCAGACCAAAACATCTGCTGGTTTACATAAATCCATATGGTGGGAAGCGTCAGGGAAAACGGATCTACGAGCAGAAAGTTGCCCCCCTGTTCACACAGGCTGGAATCTCCACCAGTGTTATTGGTACGTCCAAATCACTCACCACCCAGTCTCCAACTTCCTGTGTCAGAATTATACATGTAACACACTGAGAATCTGTGTGTTTGTTGTCATAGTGACAGAGTACGCCAATCACGCCAGAGATCACTTGAAGATGGAGGCAGAGTTGAAGAAATTTGATGGGTGAGTTTTGTTTGTCCATAATAGAAGTTCACCCATAAGCTACAGAGTGTGTCAAAAACAATCATCAGATTTCAAAAGACTGGACAAAGAAGCTTGAAGTAAGGGTTTTTAATAGTTTACATACAAAACAACATTGTAGTCCTCCAGATACTTGGCATATGTCCAAGCAATTGTCAAACTCGTCCCACAGTTTTGTGAGCATACCTGGAGTCACTGCAGCCATTGCTGTTGTTATTCTGCCTACCAGCAACCACCTGAAACTCACAAACCCGCACCTTGTAACATTACGCGTTAGAATGCAACCACTTTGAAAAAGGAAGATTCTTTGTGATTCACCCTTTACAGTGAAGATCAATTACTTAAATGCTATAAAAAAGAAGCCGAGCACAACATAATTCAGATTCATAAACTTTTTGGACAATTACACATGATGATGATTTTCAACTAGACTTTCAGCTTTAATTCAGCAGGTTTACTAAAAGTACTGCATCAACTGTTGGTGGTGTTATGCAAATGCTCATAGATCTGATTGTACATGTAGGACCGTAAAAAATCCCTGAGCTTCCCGAAATAAATCACCACAGAAAATATCTGTGTGTTTTTCACACAACATTTATACATGTGATCTTTTAGAAAAGGTCACGGAGAGATTGTCGATGCTAATATTTCACTGTGACCCTTGCTTAGTGTGGTGTGCGTTGGAGGGGACGGCATGTTTAGTGAGATCATCCACGGACTGATCTGGAGAACACAGATCGACTGCGGCGTAGATCCAAACAGTACAGAGGAGGCACTGTCTCCCTGCTCCCTACGCATCGGAATCATTCCTGCAGGTCTGAAACTCAGAGAAATATCACTGCTTTTCTTTTTGTGTTGGATTAAAGCAAAAATGTAGGTAACTCTGACTTCATCCTAAAGGTGTAGCACTGTGTCACAGGTGTCCTTCAGCAGGTTGGAACCATTACATGGTTTCTTTGGCACCAAAGACTTATGTAAAGGTTTTCCAAGCCTCAAGGGATTATTTATTGAACTAACAGACTCTAGCGCCTGCTGTATTGTTCCAGAAACCTCCAGCTCTCTGGAGTCTGCTGTTTTGCCAGCTAACAAATCACTTTGGTCTCTCCTTGTCTAGTTTTTAAACTGTCCTTAACCTATATGAAGAGCATCTTCTTATCAGCACAAACTCTGGTACTTCATCACAAACAACTGCTATAAATAAAAAGTACATACAATACTTGTAGAATAGACACCTACAAAGACAGAGCGTGAAAAGAAAGACCAAATTGTTTGGAAGGTTTTCTATCCTTGTCTGTAAATAATATTTCCTTCTATTATTTGTATGAAAGCCTCACATCAATGCTTCAACTGATTTTCTCAGCTCTTCCCTCTTTAAGACATAAATAGCATTGTTGCTATATATAAAACATCCCGAGTGAAAAATAGCCAGACTTCTTCCTGATTTAGAAAGACAGTTTTAGCTGCTGACCTGGACAGTGATAGAGGTAATCTAGCTTTTAATGACAGGTGAGAGCCAATAAGTATGTAAGTATAAATACAGGCAGTCACTGTGACCTCATTTCTCAGTTGTGCTGGTTTGTGTCCTTGGTGTTTTCTGCTGCTGTGCTTATAAATACACACAGAGTCACCTGGGGGACATTATTCCTCTGTGCAGATACAAAAGTGAAACCGCACACCTGGGCAATTAATGGTTGCAGGTGTTTGTGTGTGCACAACAGGAGCAGCAGTGCTTTTACAATGTAAAATCACATTGTAAAGGTTTAAGAAAATAATCAGAATCGGTGATGACCGTCCTCTTTTCACTGGAATGTTCTACACTAGTAAACTGTTAGCAGATGGTGTTTGTGTTCTTTCAGCTCATTGTTTCTTCTGTCTGTTTCAGGTTCCACAGACTGCATCTGCTTTGCTTCTGTGGGCACAAATGACCCCGTGACCTCTGCACTACACATCATTGTGGGTCAGTCACATCATCTCTATGACATCAGCGGTCATAATATCCATTCCAGCAACATAACCTGTCTGAAGTCTAAAGTTAATGTTAACATGGAAACTATTTAAAAAAATAAAAATAAAAAAGAAAGGACAAACACTCCTGGGGTAATATCTTAACTATTTTGCTGAGAAAGCAAGCGTTAAAATAGACTTCAATGTCAAACATTGGTATTAGAAGTGAGAATTTGATACAGTTTAATAGAATATTTGATACATTTAACTGAACTTATTTTAACTCATTCACTGCCATTGACGTCTATAGCCGTCAATGGCAGTGAATGAGTCAATGGGTTTAACTCATTCACTGCCAATGGCTGGCAGTGAATGAGTTAAAATGTAGAACAAACCACAGCTTGGTTTGTTTTAAATTCTCAGTGTACGTGTCTGCTTGTCTTTCTTCAAAAATGGCAAACATACCTTTTTTTTTTTTATATCTGTGTGCAGGAGACTCTCAGCCGCTGGATGTGTGCTCAGTTCATCACAACAACATGTTCCTGCGATACTCTGTGTCGCTGCTTGGATATGGTTTTTATGGCGATGTGCTATCAGACAGCGAGAGGAAGAGATGGATGGGGCCTGCAAGATATGACTTCTCAGGTGGGAAAATATATATAATATCCTTTAATTTTATCTATAATGTTTTACAGATAAAGCAGAGAAATGTATTGATGTCTGATTTGTCAGAGAGGCCCGGTACTCTAAATATTAGCAAAGAGAGGTTGTTTTTATGTCACCGCTCAGTCACATCAGCCTACCACAGTCCTTCCAGTCATTTTCATTTGCTTGCATGTGTGCACCATTCATCAGAATTTCTTTTTTTGGTAATGGTCTGCAGGTCTGAAGATGTTCCTGACTCATCATTACTACGAAGGAACAGTGTCCTACCTGCCAGCCAAAGGTATCATAGGAACGCCACGAGACGCGACCAGGTGTCGATCTGGGTGAGAGATCCAAACATGTATCAACTTGTTTCCCTTTTTTCTTTAAATATATAAATACTCTTTTGAATTTATTGGAATTTTAGAGCTGATCATAAACCTGTGACCTCAGTTACAACCAAAACATTTTATAAATCCTATTCTAGTTTATTAACTCTTTGGCTATCTGACTTTCAGTGTTGCAGCTGAAGCCTTTGGTTTATGTTGCAACCAAACGCAGTCATATAAATTAAAGTGATAACCTTCTGAGGTTAAATGTAAAATGGCTTCTCATTAAAGTCCTTGTTCATTGCATCATTTAAGTAACGCTGGTTTCTCTGTAAATCTCCAGGTGTGTAATTTGTCAGCACAATGGACAGCTAAATTCAGAGAGAAGCGAGAAGTATGAGATGGATGAAGCATCAGACTCTGGTCAGTCCAAAAACAGTTTCTAATGGTCTTACTCACTGAACATTACTCCATTCCTAAATCTCCTCGTCTGGCTTTGTCATGTTTCTTTCTTGTTAAATCTCAGAAAATATTTATATTTGTGAATTAAAGACAAATATGTAACACTTCCTGAAAAATGATGAAACCGTGTCCATCCACCCATGGCTGTTCTGTAGTCTTGGTAGACATCAGCTGGCTTTGTTTTTGTAGTTTTTATTGAATTCCATACCAAACCTAATACCAACATATTATTTCTGAACACTTTGAGAAGTTGACTTCAAGGTTCTCCAAGTTTATTTTGGCTCTTGTTCACAGCAAATTCACTGAGCCTAAACTTTAAACCTGAACCTCTCGATCTTCACTGAGTGCCCATTGTTCTGAGAGCTGTGACAGAAACTACCAGTTGTAGTCAATCATAATCACTAATAAGAAATTAATAGATTCAGATAATAGATGCAAAGATGTAAGTGTATGTATGTATTTGAGCCTGTGTAGATAAAAGAAAATTCCAAATAAATTTAACCTTGTGCATTTAATCCTTTTTTTTTTTTTTAGTTATTTAAGGTTGGAAAAAGAACAGTTCAAAGAAACCATTAATCCCAAAGTGTGTGTAAACTCCTGAGCACAACTGTAGTGATGCAACCTGCAGTAAATTCATTATGTGAGAAACATTGGACTGAATGTAGTGAATGGAACTTTTTGTTTTGTTTTGTATGTTTATAATGAATAATGTGCAAACTTTTGGCACAGAGTGAAAACTGTTTTGGCAGCAGTAACAAGTAAAGTCAAATCTGTCTGTTTTCTTTTCATCCAGAGAGTAGTGGCGAGTGGAGGACGATTCGAGGAAAGTTCCTCGCTATAAACGCTGCCAGCATGAGCTGTGCTTGTCCTCGCAGCCCTAAAGGCCTCTCGCCTGCTGCCCACCTGGCTGACGGCACCACAGACCTCATCCTCGTCCGAAAATGTTCCCGTTTCAACTTCCTTAGACACCTCCTACGACACACCAGCAAAGATGACCAGGTATATTTCCAGTCTAAATTAAAACAAAAACAAAAAAACATGTTTTTATTGATATTCTTTGGACATTTTGGTCCACAACTAAATACTTATTTCTCTCAATCAGTTTGACCTTACCTTCATTGAGGTCCATCGAGTGAGGCGTTTTCGTTTCATGCCACGTCACTGCCAAAGCGACTCGGACCTGGAGTTGGACTTGCATGAGAATAGCAAGCGGCAGATCTTCAGCCAGATCTGCAAAGACCACCCAGCTTGTGGCTGTGCACCCGCCTACAGCAGCTGGAACTGCGATGGCGAGATCCTGACCCACACAGCCATTGACGTCAGGTATGACGACCCTGTGGGATCTTCTTCCTTACAAATATCAAAACTTGGTTTAAGTTTTCTCTTTAAAAACAACTTCTGCTGTTTTCTCAGAGTGCACGGCCAGTTGATCAAGCTGTTTGCTCGAGGGATTGAAGAACTGCCAGTGTTTGAGGATCTCTCCAACCCCTGTGCAATATAGATCTCCACCAGTCTGTCCCCAGGCATTGGAGCCATCTGATTATGGCCGCCGCCTAAAGCACTGCTACCACCTCCATCATGTGATGCTCATCACATCTTTCACTTGAAAACTCAACTGGCTAAGTTACATTGTTACTCAACAAATGTCATCAGCGTAGTCAGAAATGAAATTTTACTTTCCAGGTCTGAGGATTTAAGGTGATTTCCTCACAGGTGGGAAGTGATGCTAAAACTGATGAAACTCTAGATGCAGAAAGTAAAACATCAACCTCAGATTTTGGATTTTTTGCTAGATGACTGTTGGTGTTTGGTTGGAATGGTTGTTGGGTGTTTGGTACCAAATTTATTTAATATTGAACTCAGGCTTGAAGCTGAGACTTGCACAGTTTTAGAGTGAACTCAAAACCAAAGAAACCAAAACTCAAACAATGAACTTGTCCATGTCTGCACAGCCTAAATTGTCCTGTAGTTCTTGAGTCCTGCGATAGTGAGGTCCTGACCCACTATGCCAGTCTTATTTTCTCTTAACTCAGACTTGTTTTGATTTGATTTCATTCTTTCTTTGTTGTTTGTCTCATTGTTTTACTTATCAACTCAGATTTGACTCTCTCACTGACTTGTTTTTTTTAATCTGGACTTGTTATGATTGATATGTGTTCAGCTTCACCTTTGATGCTGAAACATGTGTTAATCACAAGTAATGCTAACTTGTTTTATCATTATTGGTGTTTGTTTTGTGACAAATCGTTGTCCAGTCTCGTTTCCATCTTCTATCTGTTTTGACCAGTCATGGGTACTGTTCCTAATCGTTTTCAGTCAAAGCTCCAACTCTTAAGCTAGTTAAACTGTTCAAACATGTGGGCTTTGATTTTGATCTGTCACAAGTGTTTCAATATCTTGCTCTTGTTATGGTCTTCTTTCTCAGTTTCAGATGTTCGGAATTAACTGTTACATGCCAGACACCCTACAATCATTCCCAGAGTCATCTGATCATTAGGGGTTTTAGCTCATTCATTAAAGGTTGAAGGAAATTGGGTGAGTATTTACAGAAAATAATTCTGATGAGACTTGTTTCCACAGCTCCAACTTTTCATCTATCAATCACAGCATTCACTGCAATGGGACGCATTCAGCTTCTCAAACAAGTCCATCAGAGTTGTCTCTTTGGTTCCTTACTTTTTTCTGTGAGACTCGAGCTCAGTCGTAGCTTTGCAATCATTTTTTCACTCTTTTTAATTATCAGAAAATAAGAAAAAAAATTCTCAAAGATACTTTTCAGTCTCATTTCAGTCAAGCTGGTCATGGCTGGGTAAACTGAGCAGCGCACAAATAAATCCTTTTTATCTTCCATTTCTGCTGAATATGCAACTCAGTCTGAGTACAGACACAAAGAAAGAAAAAAACATGATGCTTTAACAGCAGTTTTACACACTAACTGTACAATAATCTGTAATGTCTGTGATATGTGAGCTCAAGCTGTAGCTGTAAAATCAGTTTTTCTGTAGTAAAGCATCGTTTTGAATTCTTTTGTCAAGTTAATATTGCTTCATCAAAATCTCAAGATGGTCATCTGAACCTTCCAAAAATCAAAAAAACATTTTATAGCCATTGCAGTTTTTTGTTTGTTTTATGTTGGGTTTTTTTGTTTTGTTTTTTTCAAAGCTGTTCCTCACAGTGAGACATTAAATGGCCAAAAGAATGCAGACAGCTAAAAAACAATGTCATGTGGATGAAACACATAGTCCAAAGCTACAGGGATTAATCTCCTGCAATACTCTCTGTAGTATGTTCCCATTGAAAGTCACAACAGCATTACTGGAGTCCCGTATTGATATTGTATGAAGGTCGGACTCATCTTAGGTGCTGCGTTTAACCTGTGAGAGGCTCTATGAAGGCCAAACTCCCATTTCTATACTACCTAAGCACCCTGTGCTCAACTCTATGGGTTCAGTTAGTTTAAAGTGTGTATGAGCTGTTGCAACCCTGCTTTAGATGATATGCTAAAGCTCTGATGTCAGCATTACTAGTCAATGTCACAGATGAAATCTGCTCTGTAAAAACTTCTGTTCCTGAAGTGCAGGAACATGAAATAATTCCAGACAGAATTTATGCCTAAGAAAAATCTGAATTGCTGTTAGACACTGCCTAATAGAAACGCACAATCTTTGGAATACTGGCAAAGGGGTATTTCGTTAAGAGTGTCTTCTTTCACAGCATCACAGGTGAAAAGGTTAGGGAAACACTGCAACAAAAACTTTCCCTAAAGAAAGGGAAGGCTGTAAGTGTTTAATCCACACATATTTGAGTTTTCTTGGTAAATAAAATTGTGGTTAAATGCTCTACTTACTGTGAGAAATGGTTTTGTTTTTCTAAACTGTGGCTGTGTTGAAGAAAACTTCTTTGTAAAGTTCAATTTGGCCACAAAGAGAGAACATTCACACACCAGTCTCTTTCATTTCTAGAAACCTTCAGCAAACATCGCTGAGCATGTCGTAGCCCAAAGGCCTCTGTAGCCACTGCTCACTGTGTGCACAAGATTTATCGATGTAGAAAATGAAGAAATGTAGCAGCCTTAACTGTTATGTTAGCCATCTTCATGGTGAAATTCTTTGTGAGGTTTCAAGAGAGGTCTGCCTAATTCTTATATAGACATATTTCTGTTATTATTGTATTGAATCATCATGATCGTCCCAGAGAATAACTGTTTGAATCAGTAACGTGGAAATTTAACAGAGAAAGGAAGATGAGCATCAGCACTGGAATCTCAGACTGTAGATGGTGTTTGTATGTTTACCAGTGCACCTGTTTCCTTTCCACCCATGTTGAGCTGGACTCAAACTAATGGAGAAGGGACCCAGTAGCAGCTGATGATAAACTGCAACACCTACCAATCAGCTTTCAGATTTATTCTTGTTAATCGGACCGAATACCATCAGGGGTTCACTGATGTAGCAGTTTGTCTGTGTCTGTGATAGATGTAACTCAGGCCAGATGTCTTCAGAGCTCCACAACCTTTGAAACCAACCAAAATACATGGGATAACATCCATGATTTAGGAAAGCTGGTAAACTGGGTTATAAGGACAGGCCTGTGTTAACTGGAATTAAATAGACCTCTGAAGACCTTCAGCTGAGCTGCCTTTCACATCCTGATTTAGCTTTTAAAGTTGTACAAATCAATAGTCACTCTGCTGTAACACCCCCTTAAAAAAGCCACCAACCAAATACATTAAAACTTATCCACAAAGGTCGACTGATGACTGAAACAAATATATATTTGCATTTAGCCAACTATTAAAATGTGTTCCATAATTATAGCTTTATTTATTAGTCAAAGTAGAAATTGGTAAATTAATTTGCTTGTTTTCATTAATTGAAAGTACTGGATTGATACTATAGCCGCTGAGCTTACTGCTAACACATAGTTAGCCAGCCATAGTAGCTAGTCTTGCAAGCATAGTTTTTAACGAGCAATGTAGCAAAACTGTCCAACCTAGCACAATGCTGGATTACACTGCAAACACAGTGAGAGAAATCACCCCGGAAAGGCTTTGTTAGGTAGTGAGCACTGAATCTGTAATCATAGAACTTTATCTGTCGACTTAGTAGTACTCACACTTGCTAATTTGGGCTTAGTGGGGTATGCACAAAGACAGTTGTGAATACAATCAGTGCATTTAAAAAAAAAAAAGTACCTGAATGGGGTCAAGAAGCTGTGTGTGAAACCTCTGACTCATCAACAAACCAGTAGTGGAGGATGCATTGTTGGTGCAGATAGATTTCACAAGTATCTATCTGGAATACATGTGTTGCATTTCTTTCTTTTTTGTTGATGCCTTTGATGAAGACATCAGGTCATCAGTGCATGTTTTGCTTTGTGTCTGTCAATTAATACTATTAAAAGCTTAAAATTCATTTACATGTCATGTAATAGTTGCATGATGATCAACAGGTTGCAAAGAAAAATAAAATGGTGATGTAACTGGGAGTTCCAGAGAAAGTGATTATATTTGAATCTATAGAGGCAGATGTAACCATGTCATAGTGTTGTTAAACATGTAGAATGAACTGCAAGCAGTATTTTTAGCACTTATTAATCTTATTTACTTTTCTGATTAATAGTGTATAAAAGCTAAGTGTCCATTCTTTTCATATCACTGAGTCTATTTTGAGCATTATTTTAACCAGCCCTGTTCCAGTTATGTGAAGCACTGTTTCATTTAAAGGCTCTCCTGCTTACTAATTATTATTATTAATATAATCTCCAACACTGTAGTTCAATCTGACACTGAACACTAGTTTGATCTGGTGAATCAGTCGACCTCTAGCTGTAATCTGAGCTGTAACTTATACCTTCTGCTGTAGCTGTTGCATTATCAACAAATAAAATATTTTCAACACTTCATGTTCAGAGTTATGCAGTTTGTCTCGGCCTCTAGGAAACAAATCAGAATTAACATGGCTGATCATATAGACGTGTAGAGGAGAGTGTGCTGTCAGGGTCAGCACAACCTGTGTGTGTAGAGCCAGTCACCCATAGTTAACCTGAAAAAAAGACATCCCTGTGTTTTTGAGCAACGCATTACTCTAATATTGCAACCAAATAAAATAAAAAAAAGTATGGCTATTCTATGTGAAATATTATGAAACTGTTTTGTTCATAATGGTACGTAAAATTTATTTGTGTGGCACTTTTTAAGCCAGGAATCTGTTGCAAAGTGATTTACAGGGAATTAATATATAGACAAAAACATCATATTACACAAGAACATTACTCAAATGCCTGTCTAAATATGAGTTTTCAGGTGTATTTTAAAAGAAGCCACAGGTACATTGGTGGTTGAAGGTGATTTAATCTCCTCAATTTCTCCTTGCTATTTGGGCTGCGATGAATATAAAAACAAAGAATTACCTGATTTTCTTTTTTTTTTGCCTGATTTTTGTTTCTGAGATAAATGAGAGCCACATAAGAGGACGTTCGTTTTACATTTCAATAGAACTGTGGCAGTATAATGTCCTCGTAAGTGCATATCAGGACCCTGTAGAGTAAAATTAGTATTTTGGTCTAGACAGCCCAAAATGTGATGTCCACATATGTGGACGTCAGGTCCTAGGAGGATAAAGGAGCCTTTGACAGACAAGTATAGAGCATTACAAGAATCTAATCTAGAGGAGATGAAGGATGAACAAGCATTTCCAATTTAACTTTGGAGACAACAGTCCTGAGTTTAGTGATCTTTCTTAAACGAAAAAAAGCAGGAGCGGGTCAAAGACTTGGTATGAGCATCAAAAAACACAGACTCATCAAAAATTAACCCAAGATTCCAAACAGTAGCTGGAGAAGGGACCTAGATGTTGTATAATTTGGGGCTTAATACTCTCTCAAGCAAGAATTAAACACTCAGTCTTGTATGTGTTCAGCTGCAGACAATTGTTTGGCATCCAACCATTGATTGCCCAGTCCATTAGAACAGATCGTTTTTCCAATTCACAAATTTTAAAAGAAATGTACAGTTAGATATAATCTGCATACAGATGATAGGAAATAATTTTAAAATGACTAATGAAAAGGCCTAATGGCAGAATATATACTGAGAATAACAAGGGGCTTAAAACCGATCCGACCACATGAAAATCCAATTACATCTCACCAAAATTTTCTCACTGAAATCAAAAGTGTTCTGCCAAAAAATGAGGTGAACCGTTTTAGGACAGATCCAGATATCCCTACCATATGATTGAAATGGTGAAACTTTAAGTACAGAGTGTAACTTTCTAAAAGCCGACTGAAAGTTGGCAAGAGTATTGTGCTTCTCCAGTGCCTTCTTTGCTTGTGTCCAAACAGCCTTTTCTATTATTTCAGCAATGAAAGGAAGTTTTAAGATGTGCCTGTATCTTGTCTGTAGTGTCAGATCCAGACCAAATGTACAGACTGACATGAAGACAGCATGCTATTAATTCATGTGAACAGTAGCTAAGCATCACAGGACTTTAACAATGGAGTGTAAAGTACCTATATGCATTTTGCCCCATAAATAAAACAATAAGACAAATCATGGCGAAAAGCATTCAGCCATGATTTGTCTCATAGTGTCACTTAATATTATATTCCTTGAGCACTGAAATGTTCTGTGACCACACCAAGCACAGAGGCCTCCCATTTATCTCTGTGAACAAATAGGATATTATCCATTTTCATGGAATAAAATCCACACTCGGTCCACTTTTCTCCTTATTGATTTTTAAGAGGTTTCCATGAACAGCAACATACTTGACTTTCTAGCTTTTCGATGTTTCTGCTATTCTTATTATGTATTTGTAACACCCAATGGACAGATAAGGAAAAGAGTCATTGCAATTTATTTTCAAATAAATCTGTAATTGTCACAGTTACGAGGAGTGGGTCTGATTGTTTGCCGGCCACTTCCAGCTGGTGACCTAAGATTGACACTAGTAAATGATTTCCAGTAGCTAAGGCTCAGCATAATGATGCTAGGAGTACATTAGTATGCAGAACATGATT